GACCATGATAGCAGTGGAGCCGACTATTGTTGATGAGGTAAAGACAAGACAGATGGAGGATAAATTCTTCAAGAAAATAGCCGAGGAGATTGACACGAAGCCGAGATCAGGATACACCATCGAAAATCAAGTGCTCAAGTTTGAAGGGAGGTTATGCGTAGCCCAACCTTTCTATGATGTCGATTGAGCAAATAATGGCAGCTCAATCAAACATTGAAGTCAATTATTTCACACTGACGTCCTATATGGAGACGGTGACTGCAGTCACAAAATTGGCTCACCGACTGAAGAACAGGACGAGTGAGCTCCACCAGGTCAACGCCCAACTCTCGCTGCTCTAGCGCATGTACAAGGATGCGCGAGCAGAGATTTGTGCACTGACAGCCGAAAATAAAGAGTTTAAATGGAAGACCACCTCTATAGCCCGATTTGGAGCAATGTCGTTCTTGGCCTTTGATAGTCAGCGGGAACTCGTCGCTCTCGATGAAAGCACGGGGGCAGGGCCTTCAAGGGCCTCCCAAGGTGATAAAAAGAGGAAGAAACGATGGAAGAGGCGAGTAAGTAAGATCGACGTATGGCCGTAAAAAAAATGAAGGTTTTTTTTTTATACGTAAATATGTTTATTTTGATCAGCGTATAGTCGTAAAAAAAATGAAAGATATTTTTAAAAAAAAAAAAAAAAAAGAGTCGGCAAAATCTATATATGAATTTAGCCTTCAAGGAAGACTAAAACCCTGGGTATAAACATGTATTTCTTGCCAAAACAAATTAAACAAAAATATTGATAGATTTCAAATAACAAGAAATACAAGAACATCAGATACAACACTTACAATAATTACTGTTACTGTCACATCCACACAAGGAGATAAAAAGTAGATAAAGCATCGCATCCCAATATTGTATTTGAAAACATTAAGGCAAGCAGCAATAATGCAAAGAAACTAGCCTACAAGCTATGGAGTTTTAATCTGATCAGTTTTCTCTGAAGATATATTGGTAATTACATCTACAAGTTCCTAAGCTTGAGCTCCTAAACACCATTGGATCGATTGTCCCAATCTCCTGCCACAGGGGCCTTCATGAGGCTTTCATAACCTGTCACTCACCAGACAAATGGAAAAATTGACAAATAATGTCAGAATAACAAAATAGGTTAGTATCATGTTTCAGATTTGTAGTGAACCTAGTTTATTCAAACTGCTTGTAAAAGTTTAGCGAAAAAAATAAAACAAACAAACATGGCTGAGTGAATAAAATTGTTTTTCATGGGTAGGGTTCAATTAGGCAGTCATGCACGGATTGTTTATTTAACTAAGCTTGTGTTGTGGTTGCAATCTAATGGCACGTCTAAACAGAGAACACAGACTACTATTCGTTGATTAGGTCTTTGAGGGAATGGTAAATAATCTCTCTATATCTCATAAATGATAAATGATATGAGAAATTACCTGACTGTTGAAAACCATTTGCTCCAGGTTAGTGTGAATATATATCTTTAGCTAATGGGCCCATCGAATCTTCATCAATTTCAAATTCCTTATAAGCTGGAAAAGTTTTGTTCCTCCACTTTATTGCATCCCACCACTCTTTCTCCCCTTTGATCTTCAAATTATCACCAGACACTTCCATGGCATGCAGACTTTTGAGCTTTGGACAGTTATAAACAATCAGACTTTCTAATACTGGACCAATACTTAGGCCACCAGAAATAGTAACCAATTCAGGTAAGTCAAGAAGTGACATCTTCTTCAAGTTTTGGAGAACATTACCAGAGGATTTGAAGTCTGACAATTCCTGACTTACCAGGCTCCTGACTTTGAAGCAATCTTCAACTATAAGCTCTTCCAACTTGACGAGATTACTACGTAAATTTGGGGTGAAAATAGTAATCAAATTGGGACATGTGTGCAATGCAAGTACCTCAGATTGGATAGACAACCCTTACCAATTTGGCATTTCCAAATACTTCATAAATTCTTCATGTAGTGAATACCCAAGTATTGTAGCCATCCAAACACGTTTGTTATCAACTCGCCACCAATATTCACTATCTCCATCAATAATGGTTTGAAATTCATTGCATTCCACTAGCAAGCAAAAATTGAGTTGAACCATATTTTCATTCCTGAATTCATTGCCCTCACCATTTATATATTTGAGGCATTTCTTTGATTTTAACCATTTCTTGAATAATTCCCCAACTTCATTTGGTAGACGGAATATGATTCGCCATGGATGATCGCCAACAGTGAATCCAAATTGAGACAAATTTGGATACATAACTTGTTTGTTATTCCATGTAGGTTGTTGCAGTGAATCAACTGAAGGCAGATACAACGTGAGTATTTTCAACTTTTGTAAGCTACTCAATTCATTAAGTATTTCCTTCACATTAGCATCCCACACATCAACATCCCACACATCAACATCCCACTAGTTAGCATCTAGATTCACATCAATGCTTAATTCATTCAATTCAAAGAGTTTCGACAATACCTTTGTTGGGATGATCGAATCCATCTGCTTTAATTCTTCGTAGCGGTTTGCACATCCACAAAAAGAGACCCTGAAGCACTTCAAACTGATTAATTGTCCAATTTCTTTGGGTAAATACATTAATTCAATTCCTTCAAGATCAAATTCCTCAAGCTTCCCAAGTTCTCCAATTTGGGGTGGCAGCTCCATGAGAAGTTCACAACCTTTCAAATGGAATGTGTGAAGTAAAACCAACATGGAAATAGAAGGTGGCAAAGACTTTATGCTAGTGTAGGAAAAATCTAGCGAATGTAGGAGAGGCATGTTTTCAAAAAATAATCGAGGAATTTCCATCAGATCATAGTTCTTATGTAACCACAACTTTGTGAGGATTGGGCACTTGGGGTTCTCTGGAAGCTTGGATAATTTATTATCCATCAAGTAAATCTCTCTAGCATTATTCCACTCTTCAATCTTTGGTGTCTCAACCAATCCTAGTCCCCCTTGCTTTAGATAAAAGCTTGGTAGATAGGGTATAAAATACTTTCGCAGTACATTTTTAGTTTCCTTTCGCATCCGGACATCATTTACCCCACCATTCTCTAGAAAGAAGGAATGGGTAAGATCTTCAAAAATAGCTTCTCCTTCTTCACGTTTTCCTACTAACCTATTTGAGATCTAACTTGATACTGGTGAATCTTGAAATATCGAGTTATGTGCACAAAATTTAATGCAATGTATGTTTTGTTGTGATTTGCTTCTGATACCAAACTAGTTTTAACACATGAACCATGACTTCAGAGGACTGTGATGTTAATTGGTGGAGTGTAAGTTCCCACACACCAATATCAGTCACATCTTTCAAGGCCCTTGCAAGAAGAACGATCGCAAGTAGGTGACCGTGGCATTCTTTCACTAACCGGATGGCTATTTGTTGGATAGCAGAAGAAGAAAGAACATGTAATGAGCCCATGTTCCTACAGAATAGATTCCAGGGTAACAGATGATCATCCATTCTGATCTCTAGATCCACATCCATTATCTCATAAACATTTTGAGATTGAGTTGTGAGAACTATGAATCCATGATCAGGGATTTTTAAGTTGTATAGAGTATCTATTGGCCCATCCAAACAATTCACAAGCAGCAAGAAGTCGTCAGGTAGGAATTGAAGTAGCTGTTCCTTGAAAATCAAAATGTCATCAATTTGACGAAATCTGGCAATCTGTTTAGCAATGTTCTGCCTAACCTCTTCAGTGCTCTGTGATGTCTTGAGACAGAGAAGCAAAGGATGATACTACATTTGGCTCGTATCATCAATATATCTTTCATTGCTTTTGCTACTTCCCCCCAACCGCTCACTGAAATTCCAATCTTTCGAAATATTCCATCCTGAAAGCATTTCGAGACCTGGTGAATAGCAGAATCGATACCCAATTCCAACATTTCATCCGGCGCTTCAAATTTGCCACGCGTCTGACTCGTTAACCCAACCTCAATTCTGTGTGTCAAACTCTTATCTGACCTTGCAGTAATAACATCAGCTTCTCGAGGTAAATAAGCCACCACATGAAAATCATATCTATCCAACATTCTTTTGACCTCACAAATAAGAAAAATCATCTTCTCGTCTAATTCATGTTCATGTTCCTCATATATGTCATCTAATAGCAAAGCTTTTATTTCTCTTCGTAATTGATTCATATCGAAAAATCGCCTCCTCAGAAATACAAGATTAAAAAAAACTTCATTTGGTTCTGGTTTCATAGGGTATGACAAGATAAGGTGTAGGAAGTCCGTCCTTGTCAAAATCTGAGCTTTTCCTATAATCCCTTTCCCATCTTTTGCTTGTGGGCTGAAGGTATTCTCTGAGACTTCCATTTCCAAGGCCTCATTCTCATCCAATAGAGTTAAAGTTGCTTTCTTCTTCTTCGCCTTGAACAAAATGTCTCTCAGCTTTTCCGTCCGCCTATGTATGTATATGAACAAAATGTCTTTCATCTTTTTGATCCGCCTATGTGTGTATATGAACAAAATGACTATCAAACAAAAGGTGTATCTCAGCAATGGCACTATAGACATACGTAGGGCCACTACAATAAACCATGCCATAATTACCGGTACCAATGTAAGTATGAACATAGCGGCCATAACGGCCACGTAAGGAAGCACGATAGTGATTAGTTCCATAATTAGCCTTCTTGCTTTAAGCAAAATGTCATTCTCACAAAGGGCCGCAACACTAGTAATCCCACCACCAACGCTGTTGTGAAAAATAGATGTAACGGCAGAATTTTTAGACTCATAATTAACATTTCTGTGGATAATTGTTCTCCTGTCAACAAAATTCGTATCGTAGCAGCAGCCCATGCTGCTATTATCAACATTAAAAAACCCAATACTAATTTGCACACAGAAACAACCGTTTTCTTGAAATCTGCTAGCTTGTACAACTTTTGAGCGGGCATCCGGGAATCTGACAAACATGTACATACAGTCATACTCGAGTCGACCAAGAATGTTTAGTGGGTATGCGGTAACATAATGATAATAATAATAGAGGTTTGTTTAAAATACGATTTGTTCCCCATGGTTTTATAAATTACATCTCGTCCTTTCAAATTTTTAATTTCATAACAAATAGTCCATTTTATCAATAAATCATCAAGTTAACAAACAGTTTTTAATAATATTAGAAATTTATTTCAATTAATAATTCAATTAACTTAATTATTGTATAGTAGAGCAGTTAAAAATTTTATTTTTTTAAGTTAATTGTGTTAAATAAAAAAATTCTTATAAGGGAGTACTTGTAATTTTCCAAACCACATGGAGACAATCTATATTTTAAGTAAATCTCAAGAAATATATTTATAAGTTATCTTAATTAAAAACAGAAAAGATATAAACCCAGAAAGCTTGCCATCAAATTTGTCTGGAAAATGTGTATATGGTGGCAACAATACTTACATATCTAGAAAAAGTACTCAAAAATTTATTTAGAAAAGTACATCTATGTATCACACTCATTCTAAGTGTGATTCGCATTTCCCAACTTCAAATCTACACCACTCACCACTCACTTTCGGGATAGAATTCAGGACACAAATTCATGATCCATAGCATTTTCCATATCATGGAGATTGAAGTTGATGTGTTGTGAGTCATATCAACAATGACTCTGGTCTAAACCATTCAAATTCTGAATAATTTTTTAGATATTTTTTGTAAGTTTGTATCATTGTTGTATTGAAAAAGCCAATTTTTGTTTAAAAAGTTAAAAAGCCACCAAGTCATTTTTCATTGGTTAAAAAGCTAAATATACCAGCAACATTTTTCACTCACAAAAAAATAACATTTTTAACAACTTTCCAAATACATTATAATAAAAACAACTAAAAAATTAAATAGTTAAAAGCCACTAAAAAAAATCAACTCCAAACTTACCTTTAGACGAGCGGCCTTGTACACCATCGAGCTCCATCCAGCCAAACCACTGTTAAAACTGTAAATTAATAAATTTTATATCAATAATGATAAGGATATCAATCATTAAATAGATAAATAATGGGTTAATTACATTTTTAAGGGATTTTTGGCCAATACCCCCTCCTTAGTTCCTTTTAAAGTGAAAAGAACACCCTAAACTTTTTTAATTTATAAACCCCTTGGAGAAAAAGCATTTATTTCATTAGGGACAAATAAACTTATTTTTATTTTTTTAGACAATCTTACCCTTAGTAGCTATTTTTATATTTCAAATTTTAAAATAATATAACTTTTGATCCATGTATTAGTTTTTAATAAAATTGGTAATTTTAAAATCCTCTTGTCAAAATCTATTAAACAAGATTCATGTTGGCTATGAAATTCTATAAAAAAAAATAATAATAATAAAATTTTTTTGTCTAAACTAACGTCAACGTCAACGTCAACGTCAAATTTTACTTACTGCGAATAGAGTAAAATTTTACTATTTACGTCAATTTCGATAGTAATTTTTTTTAAAAAAAAAATTCGTAGTGTTAGTAAAATTTTTCTTAGGCTTGGATCGACAGAGTCTTAACCAAAATCTTACTAAACAACACAATGATCAAGCAATTGTGTTGACGTTCTATGCCTTGAAAGTTCAAGGACTTCCTTGGAGTAAAAATAATGGCAAAACAAACAAGAAAAAGGAGAGAAAAAAGAAGAAGATGATGACGTAAATGATTGAATGAAATAATCAAATACAAGTAAAGTACATTAAGACTACTCCTATCTAAGTTTAAACTACTCCTATGTAGATTAGATCTACTCCTAGGATAGAAAAGAAATGAAAATCAAGTCATGTATTGATTTGTTGGTGATCCTTACAATAGAGCCATCAATGGCAATTTATACAAAAAAATGTAGGAAAAAACTTCTATTAACTATCATCTAACTACCCATCTAACTTCCACCTTCTTACATTGCCACTTGTCCTCCATCTCTTGAATCTTCAAAACTTGCTTAACTTCTCTTAACTTTCAAGATTTTCTTGCATAATCATAATAATAATAACAATAATAATAATAAGTAATAGAAAGTTTAAACCTAGTTATAATCGATAAAAATTTTATTTATGGTGCAAACACATAGTCAACCAAAAAATCTCATTGATGGAATAGCAGGTCTGTGGCTATCTCCTTTGTTCTGGAAGATGAAGCTTTTGCTATTCGTCAAGCTTGTTAATGGCTCAAGCAAAAAAGCTTTCGAACATTGAGATTTAAGGTGATAATCAATCTGTTATCCATCTCTGTGTAGTCCCTCCTTGGGAGTGCAAGGCCATTATTCATGACATCAAATGTTTCGCTCAGCAAGGGATGTTTTCCTTCATTTGGAGTCCTCGATCAGAAAACACGACAGCTCACTAGACAGCCCAATCCTATCTTTGAGGGGTTTTGCCAATTTCTTGGATATCTTCCCCTCCCCCTAGCTTAGTGTCAGTGCTTGCTTTGTAATTTCTTGGTTTCTGGTGTAATGTTTTTCTCAAAAAAATAAAATAAAATAAAAAAATAATCTAGATGTTGTTTGATAGATCTTGATGAGAGGATTTTACAAAATACTACTTTTATTAAAAAAACAAACATTTAGATCAAAAGTTATATATTATTTTAAAGTTTAAAATATTAAATTAGTCCTTAAGGATAGAGCACTTTACCCCCCCTATATTTTAAAAATAGCCAATTATCCCCTTATGATTTTGGTCGTTTTGTAAATTACCTTTGTATTGTCAATATTTCCGTCCAAATTGACAGAGTTTGTACCTCACGCTCCATAAATTCGAGTTGATAAGAAAGTAAACCAATTTAAAAGACCAACTATGATATAAAAACACAATTTTATCCTTAACTTCATCTTCTTCCCCAAAAAAACCTTATCATTTTCAACCCTAATCATAAAAGCACCCCAATGACGCCCCAACATCCAAGCCACCTTACTGTCATCATCAAGCTGTAAAGTCGTCGTCTCTCATCGCCAATATGGTGACAAGAAAGATGACGTCTTATGTTGCAATCATCATCATAGGGGTGTAATTTTGGCCCAGCCCGACCCACCCTGGCCCAGGTCCAGCCCGACGCGGCCTATATTGAGCCTCGCATGCTCTCGTCAAAATTCGGGCTGGTACACAGGCCAAAAAATTAGGCCCAAGCCCAAGCCTAGCCCTAGGCCCAGGCCCAGGGGATATTCGAGCCTTGGGTGGACCGGTGGGCCTGGGCTCAATCTTGGGCCGGGCTTGGGTAGGCTTGAACATTTTTATTTTATTTTATTTTTATTACCAAAATTTTATTATTTTTCACTAAAAAAGACACTGGGCCTTGGGCGGGCTGGTCGGGCCTTAAGTGGGCCGAGGGCCTTAGATAGGCCGATGGGCCGGCCCACGGGCTGGGCCAGGCTTCAAAATGATGGTCCAGGCCCAGGCCTAGGGTCTCAGGTTGGGCTAAGGCCAGGGCCTAAACAGGCTGGCCCATCCCGGGTTGTGGGCGAGCTTCGGACCGCAGGCCATTTTTACACTCCTACATCATCGACATCTACACTTCTCGTTACTGTGACCCTACTTCAATCTCCATTCTTTGATTGTCGACATGTCTGCCGTAGATGTTTGACTATGAGAATCAGAGAGGGATGTACAATTTTGATCTTGTTTTTTCTTGATTATATATACATATATAAAAACTTGTATATAAATAAACATGTACATGTACCTAATTTGATGTATATATATAAATATTTATGTATATAATGAGTTTACTTAGTATGATCCTTTGTGTAAACATGTGTATATGTAATGAGTTGACACACCGATTCAATAGGGTAAAATAGTAAATTTCTAATTCTGTTGACAGAGTTAGGTGTTAGGTGTTGCATTTGAGTCTAAAATCATATGAGAGATTTTTGGCTATTTTCAAATGATAAGGGATAAAGTGCTCTGAGGCTAAATCACAAGGGGTAAAATGAATTTTGTCCAAATTTTATTTTGAGGGGGCTTTGACCAAATCCCTTTATTTTTAGTCCCCAAAGTATGAACTAATATCATTTTTATTTTTAATATTTAAATTGTCCAATTTGGTCTCAAATATATAAAAGTGTTTATATTTTATTCTAATATATAAAAAATATTTCAATTTAGTTCCTAAATTTTTAAATTACGTATTAACATAATTAGATTGGAGAAGGGTGAGAAGCCACAAACCTGTTGACTAGCATAATCAATTCTTACTTATGCTAGCGGAGTCTAGATCCTCTATAGGACAATCCTATAGTGCATCTGGACGTCGTTTTGGGGAAAAACTTAAAAAGAAAAAAGAAAAAGAAAGCATAGAGACAAAGAAGAAATCCATCACCGGCTACACTCGCCGACAACCCCTCTCTAGCGCCGTCCACCATCCTAGCACCACCACCTCGTTTGTGTAAAAATTCATCATTGCTTTAGGGCCACCCCAACCACCCCTTCACCTTCTACTCCTCCATCATCATCATCTTGTTCTTCTTCATAATCTTCTACTACTCGATCTCTCTCTACCTTGCGATCACTGAAGCTATCAATTTCACACAATCGACAGCGGTGACGATAAGGTGAAGGGAAGGGTTGGTTAGGTCGCCGAAGAGGCTTGTGCCGGTGGATTTGGTAGTTTTTACAGAGAGAAAGGAGGAAAATGAGGAAAAAGAAGAAGGAGTTGGGATAGGGAGACATGGGTTGCAACGGTGATGGCAAGGAGGTGGTGGTATCGGCTGGTAGAGGGATGGAAACGGTAGAAAAGGGTTTGGGTCTAGAGAGGGGTTTCTAGCGAGGTCGCCGATGATGGCTTGTTCTTCTTCGTCTCTCTATTTTCTTTTCTTTTTTTCTTTTTTTGAAGTTTTGTCGTGTTTTCGGACACTACAAGAATGCACTACAAAATAACCCCATAGAGGATCTGGACTCATGCTAGCGTGGGGTGTAATATTGACACTATATTCAAACCATCCAATAAAAACAAGACATATGGCTACCCACGACGACGAATGCATGAGGACGTGTGAAAATACATGTGGCAGCAGAATATGGGAGATAACATGTAGAAGTTATTGGTTGATCTTTGGGCATGCAATGGTGTTCTAATTAGTAAAAAGAGTGATGCTCACGAATTTGTGTTGAGTGATTAGAATAATGAGAAAATATATAGATTTGTGATTGATGAGGGATACCGCTACGTGACATCTTAAGAACACCAAATAATTTTGGCCAATTTCCCTCTTTGTGGCGTTTTGAACATTTTAGTCACACTTTAGGGTGTGTTTTTAACTTTATTCCCAAAGTAGGGTAAAACGGTTTTAGAAATACCGTTTTTCAGGAAACGGCTTTTGCAAAGCCGTGTTTTCGAATTAAAATAATAATAAAATTTGAAAATGGAAACCGGTTTTTTTAAAGCCGTTTTTAATTAAGTTTTTAATTAATTCTAAATTAATTAAAAACGGTTTTCGTAAAACCGCTTTCCCATTAATTTTTTTTAATTTATATTTTCAACATAAATATTTTTTGATAAAAATATTTTTGACAAAATTTTTTTTTTAATTAAAAACGGTTTAAGAAAAGCCGTTTTTTGACCATTTTTTTTTTAATTAAAAACGGTTTTAGAAAAGTTAGGGCATTATACAAAACAGCTCCCCTTCTCCTTTCTCACTCAGCCGAACTTGATATCCAACCCATCTTTTCCTTCCTCACTCAGCCGAACTCCGAAGGGAAGACCGACGACGAAGAGGAAGCAACGAACAACGGCCAACAACGCAGGAACACCTTCATCAAACACCCACATTCAGGTTTGTATCGCATAAATGAGGGTTTTCATTTCAGATTTGGGATTTTTAATTTCGAAATTAGGGATTCAGATTTCGGATTTGAAATTTCAAAATGAGGGTTGTAAACTTTTCATTCAACAACGCAGGAATTTTTTGTATAAATCCTGCTTTGGTTGCAAACCCCTTTCTCTCGTCAGTTCTCTTAAAAACCCTAGCCCAACAAAACATGCTATGAATGGCATCTTTTGATGTAAATAAATTGGAACCTGTGCTAGTACTTTTGAAACGAGATAAGGCTTGAAAATGTATTTTATTTATTTTTTATTTTTAAATAAATAAAATTTATACTAGGTTTTAGCTTGTCTTGTGTTTGCAACATTGTGGCATTGTTGCTATATTCTGATCTTTTGGTAGATAGTTAAATGGGGCATGTATAGCAACTAAGGAAGCAGAAAGTTACACCAGTAAAGAAAACAAATTAAACAGATTCATTCATTTTAGACAACGAAATAATCTCTGGAGAAGAAACTGTGTTGGTACAAGAATTAACCTCTCTCTCTCTCTCTCTCTCTATCTAGTTGTGATAAAAAAAAACACAGAGATGGAGGAGTTTTTGTATACTGATATCGAATATTTATGTGCAAAACTCAGGTATCAAGAGGTATCAAGAAAAGCAGCTCAAACTCAAAAGAAGGTCATTGCTTTTTTTAATTTTTTTTCCTCCAATTTTTATTTCTTCAAATTATATGGTTACATGCTCTCAAAACCCAAGTATATGTATGTATGTATGTATGTATGTATGTTTGTGCTTGTATATATTTCTTTTAGTCAATTTAACTGCTTCTTGCCATCAATTTATAGAATTATGCAGGAAATTATGCTTTAATTTCTTCGTATTCATTTTGTTCCAAACTAGTAATCTTCACCTGGCCAATTTTTTCCTCTTTTTCAATACACTCTTAGCCAGAAGATGTAGTGGAATTTTGAAATATTGAAATCTTGAGACATAATCTTGTGTTTGGAAATGTATTGGGAATATAGGGCAAAATTTTAGAACAAAAGTAGGAATAGCAATGAAGTGGCCTTGGCTCATTATTAGGATCCTTGGGGCATCTCCAATGGAGATGCTGAGCACACTACACACAGATTTATACAAGTATACACACCACACATTTGGCCATAAGCTAATACACCTAAAAAATCAAAATTTTAATTATATTCTCTTTAATTAATACACACAGATCCTTGGGCCAATTTCCCTGTTTGGGGCGTTTTCAAAATTTTAGTCCCACTTTAGGGTGTGTTTTTATCTTTATTCCCAAAGTAGGGTAAAACGGTTTTTGTAATGCCGTTTTTCAGAAAACGGTTTTTGAAAAACCGTATTCATCGATTAAAATAATAATAAAATTTGAAAATAGAAACCGGCTTTTCTAAAGCCGTTTTTAATTAAGTTTTTAATTAATTCTGAATTAATCTAAAACCGTTTTTCACATTAATTTTTTTTGTAATTTATATTTTCAACATAAATATTTTTTGTTCAATTTTTTTTTTAATAAAACCGGTTTTAGGAAAGCCGTTTTTTGACAAATTTTTATTTTAATTAAAAATGGAGCAAGAAAAGCCGTTTCATTATACACAAAACCTCCCCTTCTCCTTTGCACTTACGAAAGCCGTATTTGACCCATCTTCTTCTCCCTCACTCAGCCGAACTCCGAAGGAAGACCGACGACGAACAACGCAGGAAGACCGACGACGAACAACGGCCAAGAGTAACCACCGGCAAAATGAGGAACACCTGCATCAAGCACCCATATTCAGGTTTGTATCGCATAAATTAGGGTTTTCATTTTAGATTTGGGATTTTAAATTTTGAAATTAGGGATTCAGATTTCGGATTTTATATTTCGAAATGAGGGTTTGTAAACTTTTCATTCAACAACGCAGGAATTTTTTGTATAAATTCTGCGTTGTTTGCAAACCCCTTGTAAGAACCCACATTTTTCATCTTGATCATGTTCATGAGCATTTGTATGATTGTGACTTGTTTAGCTTGCATGTGTGTGTTGCGATTGTTTCGTTGAGTTAATGTGATCCATGTCTTGATTTGGTACCTTTGTGAATTGTCTAAGTGTTATGTGCTTGTCTGAGTTATATTTTATTTGTTCTTCTTGTTCTTTTTTATGTTAATTTTTTGTATACTATACTTGAATTTTTTTTCTTATTTTCTCATATTTTCTCTGCAATCTAACACAGTATATTTGTATTTTTTAGCTGTTTAGTTAGAGGATTAACCAATTTCATGTGTCATTACTCAGTCTGGACTATCATTAATTAAACTTGTTAATAATGTCTACTTAACTTCTCAAGGAAAACCTGAAATTTCCCATAATTTCTATTTAAAGTCGCTACTTTCTTTTTTGAACTTGTATTTTCTTTTTCCCCAATTGTCACATGGCTGCTCCAATTAAGCATTTCTAGAAAAGGGAACCATCACCATTTTTTAATAGCTTTTTGGTTTTTAATTTTGTTTGATGAGGTTATATGGTTTCTTCTGTCTATCAATTTTGAGTTAATTTTGGGGTGATAGATAAGTTTTGATTGCTTTCTTGTTTTGAGTATGCCTTTGGCATGTAATAATATTCCCAAAATTGCTTTGTTTATTTGTGTCTGTGTGTGTGTAGAGAGTCTTGTTATCCCATGATTTGACGCATCTCTTGAAATGTGCTAATTTTTTGTATCAATGGTGAGGTTTTGGTTATATGCAACTTATTGTTTGCTGAGTTTTCACAAAACATCATAGTGTTTTATTTTTCTTTTACAAATACTATGATCTCCAAAATTTTATAGGAATTGCTATTCTTCTGTTGATATTAATGCCTCTTGTCTACTGAATCCGTTGCTGTCTGAAAAGTTACCTAGATTGTTCAAGTGGTTGATATTAAAGAGCTAGGTGTTATTGAGTTTATTGCATGTACTGCAGTCTGCATGTACAGTCCTGAGATGTTAATGTGTGAGGAACAATCGTCTATAGGAAATCTTAATTTGTTATGCTCAATTGCTAAGCTCTATCTACTAATTAATGAGATTTTCTTTTTCTTTTATGTTCCAACATAATGATAGTGAACTTGGTTACCGTTACTAGTTTTTCATGCTATTTCTTCTAACCTCAAGTTGATAGATATTAGGTTCACTGATTTTGACCTTTATAGTTATTAATAATGATTATGATTTTAATGGATTGGAGAAGTTAAAATGATTTGTTGAGGACCAAATAACGAATCAATACTCAAGTCTCAACCAACTATTGATGGAGATCATGGATTTGATCGGTACAAGCACACCAACAAGTTTGTGGATTCAATTAGAGTTGTTTTGTAAGTTGTAATTTATATTTTGTTCTTTATAGTGGATTGGTTGATTGGACTAGGTCCTGTGGTCTTTTCCAGATGGGTTTTCCATGTTAAAATTCATGAGTCTCTGTTTGTGTGATTGATTTATTTTTATGCTTGCAATTTAGATTGAATGATTAAATTAATTAACCAAACACCACCAAAGCAATCCATATCAACGAATAAATTTTTTTCCCAATTCGTACCAGAGCATATTGATTTTGCATATCATAGTATTATATGTCTTGAGGAACATTGAGTTATTGTCTCTTGCTGTATTTTGCATGAGGTGGCGGCTTTGATCCTTTATGGAGTTTGATTTCCTCTTGTTCTTGTTGATTAATGCATTATATTCTTTAAGAATGGAGATTATATATTTTGGACATTTTATTATGCTAATTTGTAACGAGATTATACATTTTGTTACTGATGTTACACAATTTTATGGTAAAACCATATTTTTGGGATAGAGTGCAACCCTTTAGGGCCAGATATATAGATACTAGGGTAAAATGCCCATGCCTTGCACGGGGTTACAGGTACTATTGTGATAAATTTAAATTTAAGAAATACACACATTGTAATAGAGTTTAGAAATTTTTTTTTTTAAAAAAATGAGCTTTTATTTTTGTCTTCATCTATTTTTGATTTTTTTAATATTTTAATTAAAAATCTATTTATTTTGATGCACCTAATATAAATATACTTAAAATTTTAATATTTATGAGAAGTCTGAAAAAAATTTCACTAAAAAATAAAAAAATATGAAAAACTGCTTATTTTTTCTTATTTTTATTTTTATTTTTAGTAAGCTTTTTTTTTCTTTTTTTCTTTGTTGGTTGTTAATTTTGGCTAGTACTTTGTTTGGTGGTACTGTATGGGTGTGCATATGTGATGTCAAACCTGGGTTATAAATTGATGTTAAAGAAATCAAATGTTGTTATTAAAATGTGCTAATTTTCCCGTCTTCTCTAATAGGATCAAAATTTTGTTTCCGTACGTTCTTTCGGTTAGGTTGGAAATGAAAATAGAATTGGAAACTTTTCAAACTTTTCGAAAACATGAGAAATAACAAAAGGATTTGAAAGTGTATGAAAATATTTAGGAAAAAAAAAAAACTTTTATTGATGTTAATAAATTCTCAATAGTTAATTACTTGAACATAAATTCTCAAAAGACCCATGCCTAAAGGCACTCGTGTGTAATATATGTGGTGTTGGCTCTCAAATGTTCTTACTTTATTGCTTATAAATAATTGAGTTACTTTGAATGCAAAGTGTAGGTATGGAAGTTGTGAGCATTATGTTCTATTGGGGTGGAAAGATTTTGCGCAATCGCGATGAAGGTGTGTCGTACGACAACGAACCACAGGGGTTGTATAATGTGCACAGGGGGATAACATTGGCCGAGTTGCAGGCTATGATGGTGCCGAAGGTTGGTACGCATGGGGAAATAATGCGATTAGAGTTTAAATGTAGACTCCCATGTCGGGGGAAGTATAGGTTGCTGCCAATCAAAGATAATGAGACCTTAAGTAATGTTTTAGAGCTCCCACATAAATTAGGCCCTGATTATTTTTTGAAAATCTATGTAGAGAAGGAGAGCAATTTTGGTGGCACAGAGATGCCAATTCCGGTGGGTGGGCCATTCACTCAAATGTTGACACAATCGCAATCCCCTGACAATACACTTATACAGTCTGCACACATGTTCCCTGAAGATTACCCTCCATTCAATCATTCTCAGAGTTACAATCAATTAAATGCATCACAGAACCTAGATGGTTATTACAATGCTGGAGCAGGTCCAAGTGCTCCGACAACGTATAATCCGATGGTTCTTACAACCCCATATCCGCATTGGAATGAAGAATGTCCACCGGTTTGTAATGTTCAACGTACACCGGAGACGGCTGTACAAAATTATGCATACTCCGATGATACAGTGCCATTGTGTGACGAGGTTGGAGTAAGTGATGAAGATTCTGTGGAAGATTTGGATGGCGCATGGGAAGGTGCGGACAATGACTCCGGTGATGACGAAGTTGGAGGGCATCATGATATGCAGGAGGTACACACAAATGTCCATATCCCTTTCTACCATAATTTGCATTTCGACAATGATGGTTCCATCACTAGCTGTGATGTTGTCGAACGTTGGCCATTGTGGGACTTTGAAACTGCTAATTTGGAGAAAAGAATGATATTTACTGATAAGAAAAGACTAGTGCACGCTGTTCAGTTGTATAACCTGAAGCGCAATCGAGAATGCAAGGTCGTAGAATCCAAAGGAAACAGTTGGGTGGCCGAGTGCAAGCACGGCTGCAACTAGAGGGTTCGGGCAATGAAGTTAAAAGACAAAGATTTCTTTCAAATTAGAAGGTTCGAAGCGCCGCATCAATGTGTATACCCTAGAATGAATAGGGACAATTGCAACCTCAAGTCCGAGGTCATTGCTCATTTCATCAAGGCACAAATTGCGGTAAGTGCCATGCTAGATACATTATTGTTTTTAATGGATTTCATTATTTTCCTTAATGTCAGTAAATCTAATCCTGAAATGCACTACCATTGTTGTGTCCTGCCTTGTTTTTGGTGGGAAATTTGGCAATTGAAAAACTATTGTTATGGAGTTCTCATGTTGTGATTTTGCCAAGTTGTCAACCCTAAATTGAATAGCCAAGCTGTCAACCCTAAATTAGTCAGTTGTTTTGGTTGAAATTGAATAGCCAAGCTGTCAACCCTAAATTAATTTTTTGTGCACTTCTAGGGTCAGAGCCAGATTTCTTACATCGTGTTTGTGGAATATAATTTAATATTTCATGCGTTTTTAATTGAAATATACCTTATAATGTGGGGCTTTTTGAAAATTTTTGCCATCTCTGTGCTTTTGGCGTTTTAAATGTTGTCTACCACTTACGCCTCGTTCGGCAAGTTACTTTTGTAGCCAAAAAGTCAAAAAGTCACTAAAAAAACTAAAAAGCCAACCACTAAAAAGGATCCCAACAGAGTGCATTAAAGTGTTGCAAACTCTGTGATGTTTTAATCCCCACCACATTGCTTCTCAATTTTTATATATTGACATGCACTCATAGCATTTATGAAATTGTTGCCAGCCTATATTTCTTGTCATAACTCAACTCTTGTTTGCTTGATTCTGTTCATTCTAAAAAATGTTACCTATGGATTGGTTTTATTTATCCATTCTGTGAGTCCATATATAGCTGATTAGAAGTTAAGTTGCTTACCTTGTCATGGTTGATTGATGGAAAAACATATTGTCTCTGCTCTCATATAGGACGATAATGGAAATCTAGAGGCACTTAAAGTTGGTGCTGGTCAAGAAAAGCAGAATCTCTCTAAATGGTGGAAATTTAGAACTTAATTGACGTTCTGTAGTCTGTATTGGTCTTGCAACATCGGTCTAGGTTTGAGTATGAGAACATAACCCTGCTGCTTCTGCTTATTCTTTATCTTTGTTTTTACTTTTTGAATCTTCTCAGGTTGCATGATACTCAATTGGTTTTGTATCATTCTCAGTTTGCTTTACATATGTTTGAGCTGTAATTGTGTGAATTCATGCACAGAATTGAGTTCAGGTTGTTTTGGTTTCAGATTTTGGTCAACGTGCAATGGGTAAATCACCAGAAAAATGGATCAAAAGCGTGCTTTTTGGGAAGAAATCATCCAAATCTAATTTTTCCGAAGGAAGAGAGGTACTGTGAATGTATTGATCAATGGGCAGCTAAATTCTTGGATGGGTTGTAGCTTTAAAATGGATTGAACTTAATGAAAATGTCTATTTCTCATAACCCTTTCTACCAGTTGATACTTTAAATTTATTAGTTTTAACTTGCGTTTGCAATTGCTTCAACTCAACAAGATTTTCCACGCATATAGAAACTGTTTCCTAATATATGCTTTGCAACACTTAACGATAGGACATGACATGCCTTCTAAGGGAAGAAAATTAAAAAAACCATATCTCCTAGACTGTTGCTTTGCCAAAGAGTGGCACCATTGTTACCTAAAGGCTTTTAGAAAAATAAATTTGTAGATTGATCAAGGTCTTAATAATTGATCTAGGCTAACATTGTTCACTTGAAAATGGGCATATGAAGTTGCAAAGTTAGACATAATTTTTAAAATCTTCTCCAGAGGCTTTTAGAAGTTCAAACCATTCTGACGACATGATTTGGCAACAGATAAACCTGTGACATAACTTGGAAAAAAACACAACTCAATCAAATTAACTATAGAAAGCTCATTAACTTTTGAATTTTTTGCACACCTCATAGTTGATGGTGAGGAGGTTTAAGTTTAAAAAGTAGTAAGTAATAACTAATTGTTAGTATGTACCCATTTCAATTGCATATTGGTCCCTTGATCTCTGGTTTTTTCCTTTGTAGCCCTTTTGTTTCATATCTGCAGGTGACTGATTACCTCATTTTTTTGGGGTCTTTTATAGCTTCTTGCTTCATCCCCCACTGCAAAGTCTCTACGTCTACAGTATAATTCCACAGAACCAAATTCAGTCCTAAACTGGTTAGAACGCTGGTCAGCATCCCTCTTGTGGAAACCAATTCCCTCAACAAAGAAAGTTGCTGGCTCAAAATCCCAGAAGAAGAAGGTTAACCCACAAACTGTTGACCCTGAAACAGGCAGGGTAAAGCTTAGTGTCCGGAGGATTCCTTCTTTAAACCTTGACAATGTCTCGACTCAATCCACTTCTGAAACTGAGAAACCAAGACGTAACCTTCGGAAAGTCTCGAGTCATCCAGCAGATTCAGTGCAGGAACATCCGCAAAATGAGCTTGAGAAGGTCAAACGCAGTCTGAGAAAGGTTCACAACCCTAATACGGAGGGCACCATTCAGTCTGAGGCCGACAGTGAGAAGCCAAAGTATGGTCTTGAAAAGGTTTTGAGCTTTTCAGATCAAAATACTGCTGAGGAGAACATCAGTGACTCCGGTGAGAAGATAAAGAAAGGAACAACTGTCACTGTGTCCAAACTGCCTGATATAGAAGCAACTCTGGAACCACCAGTGGTGATTGAGGCAAATGATTTGTTATGTGATGATCAAACTGCAATAGAATCCCAGCCTCGAGAAAATAGTGGAAAACATGAGGGTATTCCTGTGACAAATGGAGAGTTAAGATCTAGGGAAGATATAACTGTCAATGAGAGTCAGAAATCTGCCCGGACGGCTTCTTCTGCAGCAAAGCAGGAACGTGCGAAGAATGGGGTACAAAACAGACCTGCAGTGCCAAGTTATATGGCAGCAACTGAATCTGCAAAAGCAAAACTGAAAGCATAAGGCTCGCCAAGGTTGGACCAAGATGGAATTGAGAATCAGAATCTCAGTAGGCGTCATTCTTTGCCAGCTTCAACTAACAAGAAAACAAATTCGCCGTCGCCAAGGGCACAGAGACCAATACATTCGGGTGGAAAACATGGAAACAAAAGTGATAGATCTATGTTGTCATCTAGAGATGGAAATGGTAAGAAATGGAAGAACTCAAAACTTAATTTATTTTTTTTAATCTTCCCATGCATAGCTATGTTCATTTCGGTTTTTTTTAAAAGTCTTTTGGAAGCATTTCCTGAAGCATTTCTGAGGGTGCATTTGATAGAGTGAAAAATATGATGGAAAGTAAGGTGATAGAAAACTAAGGTGCAAGCCCAGACAGGCTAACTATCCAAGCACATGGCCAAACCATCAGATTACCTCCCACTTGTCAATAGGCTAGGCTGTCTGAGGTTAACCCATTGATTGTGACAAGGATTTTTTATTTGTTTTTCCTCATATTTTCTACCTAGCTTGAGGTTCGGACTAATAGGCTGCCTCTCACAAGTCAACATGCCACATCACATGGATCAACAGACCAAGCCAACTGCGGGTTAGGCTTCCATGAAGTAAGTTTTACCGTATGTTTTAATATGTTATGTTTGGTACTTCTGCACTTTAAAGCTTTGCAAGGAAAGAACCTTAACTGATTAGTCTTCGTAGTGAGTGTAGACTAGATAGTCTCTCGGCTGTGTTTTCCCCACTTGACTTCCCTTAAACCTTTACTGTTCTTATTTTTATGCACCTGAGTTATCTGTAACTTTCTATGTAGTCATCTGCATCTTTCTGATTTATTTGATTTGAGCTGTCAGGATTGAGGCATTACTTTTGCTATGTAATAAATCTCATTAATTCCTTCTACAGTTTAGATTGTGAGGTCCAACTTATTAATATCAGGAGATATGAGTAATGTATTTACACCATAAAAAAAACAATCTTCTATGAGCAAAATGTTTGTAAACAGCAGAAAAGCGATCTTCTATACGAACTATGTTTGTTAACATGAATAGAAAGTTGATTTTGTGGCTTATATGAAGGTGAACTATATGACATCTGACCTTTTCTCTTCCTCCTAATTTTGTTTCCACTGCAAGGTTGATGCTATCATCTATTTTGCTGGATTAAAAGCAGTTGGTGAAAGTGTGCAGAAACCGTTGGTGTATTATAATAATAACCTTATTGGCACAACCACTTTGTTGGAAGTTATGGCTGCCCATGGATGCAAAAGGGTATTTTTTGTGTGTTTTATTTTCATATTAGAGTTCACATTACATAGGTTCTAGTCTGATTTACTAGATGTTGATATTGATCCGCAAATAAATATTCCATCTCAGAAAGTTTGTTTCATTTTATGGCTTTGGGGCTTGACTATATTGTTTAACTGCATCTCTCATCTCCTTCATGTTGTCACATGATTGTCAGTTCTCGTTTGCCTCCCTCTTTGGTGAATGTGATGCAGTCTAACCGGTCACTAGCATAAATCAACTAGTTATTTAGAAAGTATTTCTGCCCCAGGGGCCATTCGTCATTCCCTTTGCTTCCACTGTAGGTAGAGAATGGACATTTTGCTCATTTCAGAGCAATAAGTAATACTGTTAAATTTTCTTTAAGGGTATTTGGGGATTTAAGTATATGTATTTTGGACCAGGTCTGGTACTGCTCCGGCTTAAGAAGAACTATTATAGTGCTGGAATTTGGTTACATTGTATGTATTGTAGAGCAAGTCTGGTACTTCTCTGGCTTTAATAAGAACAATTGTAGTGCTGAAATTTGTTCCTTCACAGCCTTTATAAGCTGAATAAACCATACCAAACTAAACCTTGTGTCCCAATCAAGTCGAGTTGCCTACATAATTCGTTTTTTTCACTATTCTGCTATGTCAAATGAGTATATAAGCTTAATATGTTTGTTAATTACTATATAAGCATAATATGTTGTTGATTACTATATAAGCTGAATAAACCATACAAAACTAAACCTTGTATC